TGTTTGTGCCGTAGTGCAGTCTGTACGTGTGGTGGCTCCTGTCATGGTGTTGTAAATGCCCGAGCTTCAGCCCGCCAGGATCTATTAAACTAGCTTTAGCAAATGGCTGGGTTCACCATGCGTCACTGTCCGCTACGTAGTCTGTAATTGCAGCTCACGCAGCGAGATCGCTTTGATTAAAAAAAAGTATTCAACCGCGTGTGTGCGCGTTGACATGTGATCCGCCCAACGTGTGGTAACAAACACCTCTCCTCTTCGTTGTTTGGACGCAGGTACAGCACCTGGGAGCCGGAGGAAAACATTCTGGACGCACGGCTCTTCGCTGCCTTCGAGGAGAGGTGAGGGTTTGACAGCGCAGCAGTAGGCCTCTCTGCTCCGCCGCGCATTCTGTGCCACAAACATGTCCATTTAAATAACACACTAAGCCCACATTTGAACCCTTTAATCGTATATTTTCAGAAAGAAAGTTATAATAAGTGTCAGTGGAGCGAGCTCATCCAGCTTCCACTTTAGATAGTTGCAATGTGTGAAGCCATTTTCTCATCCCAAACAGCTTATCTGCTTTATTCTGACGCGTTTTTCATTCTAATTTAACTTACTTCCAATCAAAAAAGTGCATTGAAACAAGTAAAACTCACTCCATCTGCAGAGTTTGTCATTTGCTTGGCAAATTAGATTTTCCGATTTAATTAGAGCCCAAATAAAAATATATTCGTTAATGTGTTGTGATGAATCGTTTAATGATTTTCATTCGTCAGGGAGCGCGAAAGGGAGCTGTTCGGTCCGAAGAAGAGGGGACCCAAACCCGAGACATTTCTCTTAAAGGTTGGTTAATCATTTGATGCGCATTTCTCCGTGTTTCATTTGATCTCGCCGCCTTTCCGAGGCGATACAGCTGATGAGTAATTTCCTCGATATGAAAACTACAGCCGTGTTAATTTTGAAACTGTTGGAGCGTGACTCACAAACTAGTGGAATGACAGCTGCAGCCCAACAGAAAATCTGTCATTCACCCAAATGGTTTTCATGAAGTTAAGTTGGGTACAATGTCTACACATTTTACGCATCCTTAATATATTATATGAAGTGTTATAGTTTTATGTATTGGCATGCATTCTTTAAAAGAAGCCAAGCAGCTTCTGGACGAGGCCTCGAACGCCCAGTGTAACCAAACAGATCTGCAGCTGCTTCTCTTAAACCTTTAAATTTCCTCAGGAGACTTCAGATATTCATTTCTTCTCGTAAACGTTATTTGCTCTGTCCTCAGGCCAAAGCCAAAGCCAAAGAAAAGACGTATGAATTTAGAAGAGAGGCTCCCAGAGGGATCCAGGTTTCCTATCCCATCCCGGAGCCTATCATAACACCGAGGGCCCGGGAGGGTTTACGCACCGTGGTTCCCACCATCTTCCCCCCGAGCGCGGTCAACAGAGGGGAGAGCGTCCACGTCCGACCACCGGAGCCAGAGAGGAGGCCCAGACCGACTCCATCAGCTGCTCTTACAGTCCATGAAGCCGCCCGGTTCCCCAAAAAGAGAGGGCGCAAACCGAAGCTGCATTTGCATTATGATAAAGATGACGAAGAGCCGGACACCAAACGGAGCAGATCACTGGCGGAGCCGGTGTCACATGGTTTGTCCAGCATGTCCCGACGCTTGCTTCATCATGGGGAGACGTCAGATCACAGCCTCATCCAGCTGACCAGGAGGTTTCAGGAGGAGACCACGATTACACCCAAACACAGCAGCGAGCAGAGACACGCGGGGTTGTCTTACAGCTGCGCGTTCAACCCAGATGTGCGTAAAAGCGATCACGGGGGACACAGGACTAAATGTTTGAGCAGGATGGCTATTCCTCGGCCTAGCAGCTCTGCCGAGCATCAGAGGCATCGCATGAAGGAGTGCTGTCCGGCCCGGGAGCAACCTGCTGACATCTCCACACAGTCCATCCATGAGCAGTCCACGCGACCAACCTCGACCTGGACCCCCAGTTTCACCAATCTGGACACTGTGACCGTTACAGATGTCACCATGAACTTCTTGACAGTCACCATCAGAGAGAGCAGCACGGAGAAAGGCTTTTTCAGAGAGAAAAGATGAGTATGTGGGTCAGAGGAGGCAAATATATATATATATGCGTAAATAATTCTTTAACAAGCTACAAACTAACACGCCTACTGTAATACTATATTTTTTCTATGTAACTTTCAAACGTGTACATACAGATATTTAATACGCTGCTGAGAAAATAAAAAATGAAATTGACATTGTGAGGTTTTTTTTTTTTTTTTTTTGCACTCAGCTAACATCTTGTTGTGTTATTTTAACTACAAACTGTTAAAGCATGTCATCATAAACAAGCTTGTCATGACCTTTGTGGAATAATCCCACAATATCCACTTCACTAAAACGCACCCAGATATCCATTGTGACATCTTCCTCCTAATTAAACAACATTATAAAGTTACAAACTCATATTTATGTGCATTTAACCACCCAAACTAAGTCTGGGTTTTGAAGATTATTTCCATTCATGTGTGTCACTTTTTAAAAAGAGGCCACTTCTGTCTAATAAGCTTTATGTATAGTATTTTTGACTCTTCAACTAATTATTAAGGATGTTTGCTGGCAGTATTATCACGTCAAATAATCGAAATAATCAGCCCCATTTTAAATTAGCAATATCGCTTTGCAGGAAAATTAAACTCAAGCATATTTAGACGACCCAAATAAATTAGCCACGTGTTTCACAAAGTGTTGACACCTTTATATTTCTAATATAAAACCGCTCACATGGCAGAAAATAGTGATCTTGTAAAAGATTTGCAGTGTTTCTTTGCTGGGGTCAGGCTCTGAAATTGATCATTTCTGCTGTTTTTGTGTGTATGAATTATTGCAACAATAATTTTGGGAACAGGGCTGAATACATGCAAGAGATAAAATGTGCTCATGTTGGATTTATTTTGAAAAGGCTTTTCTTCTGGTGGAATTTTGTACCAGGAGCTTAATTGTGACATTAAAACTCCAGCAACTTTGGTCCTGTGACCCCGACGGTTCACTTCAAGCAATGAGGGCCTGATCTCAAGTTGGAGAAATACTGCAGTTAATTATTTTAACATTTATTTGATTGTCTTTCTTTTTTTGTAAGCAGCAGTGAAAAGGTTATGAAGCATATCTCATGAGAATGAAAACATGCATTAAAGCTGTGGTGCTTCGATGAACCTGATTACTGATTAAAACTTGCGCGTATATTCTTCTTGTTCCATCATCAGCACCGGCACTGATGTTCATTGGTAAGATTACAGACCTCAGAGGACGAGGTAGGCCTTAAAGCCTACAGCGAGTCTATAAAAGTGAGCTGACAGTTTTAATTTAAACAATATAAATCTTTTAAACAGGATAACTTAAGAACATAAGTGCGCAGACTGCAGAAAGTGTTTCCCAAACGGTGACCCCGTGTCAGGCTCAGTAAACGGAGGTTAATGGTTTTATTTCCCCCTTTTTTAATGCTGTGTCATTCTAAAATATCATGCAGAGGCCGTGATTTTCCCCATCAATGTCCATGTTTTCTACCAGGACACAATTTGCATCACCTTGCTCCATCAGGCCTGTACAGTACACGCAGGACCCAGGCTGCACTGCGCCAATAAGAGGCCATTTCTCTCCGACACAAAGCCTCCATTCATTTGACTTTGCTTTGTCTCTGTGGGACACATGACCCGATGTGACCATTCGGTACTCCTGTGTGGACACTGCTTCTGGTTTCTGCCTCACCAGTGGTTATTTGCAATGTCTAAATATGCGTGTGGGCGAATATCTGGATTTGGTGTTGTGGTTTAATGAAAAGTGGAGGAGAAGCGCAGTTTTGTTGAAATACATTTTGACGCAAATATCCTAAAAATGCACTGCAGCATTGCCAACTTCGTCATGTTTAAAATGTATCTTAATACTTAATCATATTCTGCATTCATCCTTAAATGTTTTAGGCCACTAGGCGTGTAGATTTTTCAAAGTTGTGGTGACAGATTCTTCCAAACTTCTTAAAGTATCTGAGCATGCGAAGGCTTTTCCTGCAGCTGTGACAACATCTGGCCAAATTCTCCATGTGAGTGTAATTTACTCAACGACGTACCCATCAAGAAGCTCAACCCTTTGATCTGATGCTGCTGCCCGAGGGCCTATATGCGAGCTATACCTCGAGAACCATAAGCTCTGAGAGCGGCCTGCATGGTTCCGCTCCACAGACCTCACCTTCCACAAGATGTCGCCACCAGCAAGACCTTGAAACGGTGCCAAGTTATGTTCGCACAAAGAACCTGCAGGACAGGTTAAAAATGAAGCGAAACCACTCACCCCGAGTGGATTAATCATTGGTGAAAGCTGGTAATGTTTGTTTTCATCAACAATATTAGCGGCTGTTGAGTTACAGCCTCCTCCTGCTGGAAGCCTGCAGCAGGACTTTGTCCTCCAGATGTGTGAGCGCATTGTGCGGTGCATCATCCCGCCACTAGATGCAGCTCGAGCACAGAAACACAGGCATTTCTATATCCCCCCCTCTTTATTTATTTATTTCTTTTTTCAGCTGGCCTACTTTTGACATGCATACAGATTGGATTAACTGCTCTTATAGCGCAGCAGAGGAACAAAGTTTGACTCGTGATTTGGTGACTTCAGGCGGATGGGTGGACTCACAGTTTTATCATTTTTACTCAACTGCTGTATTTCAGTTTTGCTGTTTTCCTGTATAATGTAAGCTATTCTTCTTATTATAGCTAATAAGAAGTATAACTTACTGAGCACTTGTGTAAAAGTGAAATAATTAACAGCGGGAAACTTCTCTGAAGTGGATGAATTATTGTGCAGAAAGACGCACTGCTGTTAACAGATGGCTGAGGGCTTTCAAACTGATTGCCTCTTTAGAGAGCAAAGACAAAGACCTGGAGAGTCCAGCAGTCCCCCAACAACTGGATCAGTCCTAATGAGACAGAGAGAGAGGGAGGGACAGAGAGAGCATCTAGTGAAGCTGAGGAGTCAGAGTCGCGGTGCAGCAGAGCTCATGTTCTCTCGATAGCGCACAAACTTTCCAGCCATGCACTTCCGTCCACTTCTGTCTGGATTTTTATCTTTATGTGAGTGAGATGTTGCCAAATGTGATCATTTTGATGTGCATCCTGGGTCTTCAGTTGCGGCACTGTGCGGCTGATCTATGCAACTGGACTGGAAGGTGAGGAACTTCTCTAATTTCTGCAAGATTATTGTGTTTCAAAGAAAGAAATGTTAGGAAAACACTTGCCAATTTAAAGAGCAGTGCTTCCAATGCTTAATAGATCCGTTAAAAGACATTGATAAGAACAACTTTTGGGTTAGTGGTGATTCGTTTGACCACTTATTTCCAGAGATGAGCTGCAGGCGATCTGTACACACAAACACACAAAATGTTAAAACCTACTTACTTTTAAAATGGCTTGTTAACCGCAGATTTAATGCTTATTATATGTCAAGAAACGAATGAGCATTTATCAATGATTTTATAACTGCATTATTGCCAAATAGAAAGGATAAACTATAGCCTAGAAACCTAAAATTACTGTCTTATAACTGATTAATAAAGCTATTAGTAACAATGTGATTCATGCCATATAGCAGTAATTTTAATTGCACATTATTCACTTTTTAATTCCCCGTTTTCCCGCCGTGGATCCAGCGGTTTTGCAGCTGCTGTGGACTCCCGCGTTGTCCTCCAGGTGCGGCTGCGCTGCACAGAAGGCTCGGTGAGGTGGATATACCCAGGCCAGGCTCTCCGGGTGGTCCTGGAGCCCAACCTGTCCTCCGCCCGGCGCACCACCGTCTGCATCAAACCCTCTCCCTCCTTCCGCGGAGCCAGCGTGTTCATTGAACGGGCCGGGGAGCTGGAGCTGCTGGTGACGGAGGGCGCGAGGCCCGAGCAGCAGGTGTTCTGTTTCCGGGCAGACGGTCCGCACAGGCCCGCTATCTACCTCCAGGCCAGCCCGCAGAGTGATGGAGCCTGGAGCAGACGCACGATGGGCTTCAGATATGAGCTGCTGGGGAACCGGAGTGCTGCACCCATGGGCCACAGCGGGCTTCAGAGTGAGTAGCTACTCTGTCACTCTTGATTCATGAAGATCAGTCCAAAATAGATTCATTTATACATTTTGACCCTTTTATATGTAACAAACTGTACTATTAATGGTTTATAAATCATTAACTAAAGCTTTATAGAGCAGTTATGAGCCATTAATAAGACCATCCTTTGGGTTGCCAGGTTGGTACTTTCTGGAGAAGGCCTGCAGAAGATCATAAATCAAAATAATCCATACTGATTAAGCATTTATTAATGGGTCACTAACACCTGTACCTGCCTTATCACCAAACTGAAAAGATAAATATTAACAAAAGGGATTTTTTTTTTACAACCTGGCAACCCAAAGTGTTATTAATGGTTAATAACTGTTTGATAAAGTATTAAGACAAGCTAACAACCTATTACAAACTCATTATAAAGGGTGCCTTATTAGAAAGTGGCACTAAAAAATTCAAGCACAGTTTAAAACCCATGTATTGCACCAACAGTCATGGAGTATGAGGGACTTACCAGTCCTAATTGCCAGAAAAAAATAGCGCTTATTTAATTACAGACCCCAATCATGCTGACTGGAGCATGCAGCTGCTGGTCAGTCGTGTGTTTTGTCTGGCTGTCTGGTTTCCATCGTGAGGACAAAGCAGCGAGGATGGAGCAGACCACTGGGCGGCTGAAGGGCACCGGGCCAAGGGGCCTGAATTGAGACTGCAAATACTTTGCAGATTCCACAAATGCCTTTTTATTGTGCATGTCTGTTTATTAGCATTTATCCATGTGTGCGGGCTGTTCTCAATGTGGTGATGTCATTCTGTGTCCATAATAGACAGCTGCTGGTTTATCTTCTCTGCACTGCCAGTCTGGCAGAAGTGTTTGACTCCTGCGGTCTCCTGCATTGGCACGGGGTCATTCAATTAGGTGGACACAATAGAAGTCAAACGCGGGGTCAAGACTAGTGAGGGTTTTTGATCTGGAGGCGGTGTGGTGGGCAGAGCACTTAAACACAGGAGCAGCATTCCTTCAATGAGCCCCTGGTTTCTTCACTCTTTGACGTGAGGAGGGAGATGTATGGAGTTGGTATGTGTGTCAGATTTTAGGTCAGTGGAGTGGTAGGGAGGAGAGATGACACCCATCTATCACTCCGTGTCAGTCATAGAGCTTTGGGTCATGGACTGGGAGAGGGTGGTTATGATTGACAGATTGGATGCAGGACTTTTTTAAAATGTCATTTTCTGAACTGATTTTCTCTCCTCACAGCTTCATGCCAACCCTGCAATGATACAGAACTCCTCATGGCCATCTGCAACAGTGACTTTGGTGGGTACATAACAATCTTACACTACAAACCAAAGATCTGCGGTAAAAACACACTAACAGAGTGTATTCACACTGAGATATACTAAAGCTATAAAGCAATGTAAAGAAGTAGCCCAAGTGTAAAAACAAATGAAAGAGAATATAAATGAGATTTGGTCTGATAAACACTGCGAGATACCTGACTTGTAAATGGTGGATGTAGTCAAGTGTGATGCAATAGTTGCACCAAAAAGAGCATCACTGTGCAGAAATTTAAATTTTTGAAATTAATATGATACATTCATTTGAGTATTTTACGCAGTATAAGCATTCATGTGCTTGTGTTACATTTAAGCTGTTACATGTTTTTGCAAATTTTTACCCCTCTGCATTTATTTAAGTTGTGTAAAATATTGTAATTTTTATATTACTACATTTATTTGACAGCTACACTCACTAGTTTCTCCGTAGATTTTACAAAGAAATACTTCATCCAAAAGAATGATCATTTGTATCTCAATTACTTACCTTGTGTAATGTTGAATTTGTGAAGAAAACTTTTTTTAAAATGCCTCCACAGTGGATGAAAAATCCAAAACTGGGGAGAATTCCTTGTGAATTGAAGTTAGCAACAGCAAAACTGTACCAAAACATCTCTTTACAAACTCTTTCACAACTTGTGCAGTATAATCCAAGCCTCATTTATTCAGTTGTGTGCTCAGTACTGACCAAAACACCTATATTTTTGCTAAAACGTAACTATTTAAAACAATTTGAAACAGTCTCGCACATGGATGAGTAGCGTACCTAGGCAAGCATGTACATTTGACAATGGAATGCACGCATAATGTTCATGCTGTATGCAAAATTTAGAGCATATGAACATATTCTCTTAACATAGAGGCAGGTAAGCCAGCGGCTGGTGGCTAACAGTGCCATAAACAGCGCTAAACAACAGTAACAGTGCTGACAGAGCTAACAGTGTTAACCAGTAGGGAAATGGAGGGCGAGCGCTATGTTTCCGCACCAACGCTGTCCTGATATCAGCGGTAACTGCCATATGAGCACAGTACAAAGCAGTTGTGACGAACAGGGGAAGGGGATACACACATGCACAACATGCATGCATTGGCGGACTGGTTTGCCAGAAAAAAACACAGAGAAGCTCAGACTACAACAGACACAGAGGTAGCGTGACTTCATTCTCTGCTTACTCCATGATAACTTAACATAGCAAATAGTGGTTTGCTGATATATTAGTGCTCTCAAAGTCACATGTTGCACCCATAAATTATAAGGTGTTTGGACTGAGTGTACGACTGGATAAATGATTCTTGGATTGTACTACAGAAGTTGTGTGAGAGTTTGTAAATGGATGTTTTGATATCTATAGCTGTTGTTAAACATGAACTTCTATGACTTCAATACGTCAAGAATTTTCTCTGTTTTTGGATTCTGTGATCACAATGGAGGCATTCGAGAAAACGAACGTTTTCTTCATGAATTTAAGGTAGCACGGGATCAGTAATTAATATACAAATGATCAGTTTGTGGGTGAAGTATTCCTGCAAGACCATCTTAGAAAATGTGATTCAGCGTAGTAGATAAAATTAACTCCACCTGGACAAACAACAAAAATAAAAGTTTGCTTACATGTTAATGTTGCATCACTATAATCCAATAATATCCTATTTACATGTGGCTTCCGTGCTGAGAATGCGTTTGTACTGTTACTTTTAGTAAAAAAGATTTTGAATGCATGGTCTGAATTTTTCCTCCACCCCTGAGATGAATATTAAAAGCTGATCCTATCATCTGGTGAATGCCCAGGAGGCAGCAGCTCTGCTGGTAGCACAGAGGAGGTCAAACAGATGTCGAGGGAGCTGCAGAATGGGAGAGACCTGTACTTTAGAGCAGAAGTAATAGGTCTTCATTTCTGTGCCTCAGTCTCACAAACCTGCCATGTTCATTTAAAGATAAGGAATACTTCAGCAGCGAAGGTGTGATTGGCTAAAGGAGTTTCGTCATCCAAAGCACACTGGTTATTCACTGATTTTTCATTTGCTTCCCTTAATGCATGAAGGGTATGGGTATAATTCTGCTCTTTTTTCTTTCAGTGGTCCGAGGCTACATCAAAAATGTCACCCACAACTCTGAACGCCAGACGTCGTTGGTGGAGGTGGCAGCTGTGAGGGTGTACTGGCAGCGCAGTGGAGTGTTTGAGCAACAAGCGGCTGCCCCTGGGTCACCTCGGTCAGTCCCGTCTTGGCGTGGACACATCCATACGCTCCTGCAGTGCCACGTGAAGCCTGGGGACGGAGAGTTTCTCTTCACAGGGTCAGAACACTTTGGGGAAGCTTGGTTAGGGTGTGCCCCACGATACAAAGACTTCCTGTCCGTCTACCAGACTGCCTGGGCAGCGCGTCGGAATTCCTGTGACTTTCCTTTAGACTGAGGAAGTGTGTTGTTTTAGCACTATACTGAGCCCGGCCAGTCTTTATCCACAGGCCTCCTCACCCCTGGCGCTGTGGGAGACCCTGTAATGTTGTCATGTGCCAGCAAGGTGGCATCCAGCATCACCAGCAGGGACGAAGCTATTAAACTGCTGGTAGAAAACACATTTGGAGGAGCAAAGCAGGGGCAAACAGCAGGGCCTCCTGCACTGAGGCTCAGAGAGGGCCGGCCTTTGTCTCCCTCCCATCACTGCCTTCAGTCCTGGGAGACTGAGAAGGGGTTGGGTTGCTGCTTTCTCTTTGTGCTTCTCCCCACATCAACCGTTGTTCACTTTACTGGCTCTGTGTGACAATTGCCCCCTGAACTAAGGTGGGAGGGAAGGCTGAAGCGCAGCCATTCATTATGCCCAGTTTGTCCAAGTGAATAGGCTTAAACGTATGAGTGAAGTTACTTTTATTCAGATTCATCTGTGCTTAAAGGTGCAATGTGTAAGACTTAGCCAGAATTTTAGTTTAAAACATTCAAAAACTGAACTAATATTTTTAAGAAGAAGAAGAAGTAACAGTTTAGATGTTAAATCAAAGACATCTTTTATTGTGTTGCAGAGATATCAGTGAAATTAGCATGCTAACCAGCTAGCCATAGCCTGTCCTCTCTTGTAATACCACTTGTATCTCGAGAGGTGATAATGGGGCAGGGTAGCGTCCTTGTCTGCTCTCAGTCCGATATGGGAGGACAGAAAAGTCAAGTCCAGTATTATGATACGTTCAATTTGCACTGGGAAGGTGGAATGTTTAAGTTCCCAAATGGGAAGTTCAATTGGAAGTTCTCAAAATCCAAGATGGCTATTTGCACATCATCAGTAGTCTTCGTTGTGTCTCATTAAAACAGTCATTCACACTTTACGGTCCAAATATAATTGTCGACATGTTGCTGTGGTGTTCATATGTGCAAAAGGCAGCGTAATCCATTTACTCTGCTACAACTGGTATATTAATAACATCTTGATGTCATTCCCTGCTTCCACCTCCAGCTTCCAAGGTAAATGGAACACAGCAGAGGTTTTTGTTGTTTTGAGATACCTGCAATCTCTCCCAACATAAAGTTCAACCATCTTTCTATATCCTTAACTTCCTCCTTTGTAATTGGAAAAGCCGTCTTTGGTCCCATTTTGTTTGTTCAGTGCAATGTGTATGTGGTTGACCCATAGACCCATATAGAGATGGACAACATGACAACTCCCTAAAAGTGAAGCCAAAACATTTCAATCGCCCCCTGGTGGCTGGCTGCAGTATAAGTCATAGATCCCGCTGCCTCCATGGTAGTGGATGGGATGTGGGTGAAACTAAAGAATCAAAGTACATGTACTGTAGAGTAGATTTTTCCCAGAGATGGTTTGTGTCATTTTGGGCAGTTCTTATCACGCTGATGTTTGTTCAAGTGTTTGTTTTTCTGATGAGATTTCACAGTTGCTACCAACATCAACACAGCTGGGCGCCGAGAACAGCCCAGCCAACCAAGCCAGGCCCAGCTGGCCAGCAGGCTCACCAGCCCCGTTTGGCCAAGGTCTGTACTCACTATTCAGGCAAGAGCAAGAATATGTCTCACTTCAGACAATCTGACATCAGGAGTCCCTGATGCTGGTGTGGTTAGGTCAGCCACTTCAGGCCAGTGTGCAGCCAAGCTAAGCTAGCTACCATTCGTAGCTCGTTCAAGTCCATAATCTTAAATTGTTTTCTCAATCCAGGCATTGATCAAAGCCAAAATATGTAGTGTCTCAAACAATACAAGGTTTGAGGTCTGAAACCTAAAATCTATTGTTTTTAGGCAAACACTGCTGAAAACTGGAGAGACACTCTATGCACAGACAGTGCAACTAATGACAACATAGACTGTACTGAAAAACATTCAGGATGGTGTCGATATATTTGATGTGGCTGTTTTCTTGCTACTATGGACTAAGTTTGGTGTATATAGCCAGTCATTACACACTGCACCTTTAAGTTTCAAATCCTCTTTGTTTTGTCTATTTATGTGTTGTGCTCTGTATATTACCTTTTACTTAAGGATTATTGTCTTTATAATGCAAAATAAACCCTCCACTGTGTTAGTGATCACTTTTTTTGACATTTATTTTGGTTCCACATATTTTCCCCATGTTTTATTGTGTCAGAGCAAACACTTTACAAATTTAAATCAGAGACTACATGAAATATTTTAGTATTTAAGACTCGATATCTTTATAAGTCTGTCAGGCTTGCGAGAAGTTTGCATCAAATCAAACATTTCCACATTAATCACGAGCCCAGGCTGTTAACAAAAATGAACATTTGATAAACAGTTTTCAAAATGGTGGCCAGTAGAATTTATTTTATCATCAACATGGAAATACAAAATAAGAACTCCAACATTGTTACTTGCAGATTTCTTTTTTATTCTGGTCTGGTCAGTTCATACAGCTGTATCTGATGAAGTGTTTAGAAATGAACAAAGCTCATGAACACTGCATAAAAATCTAAATTTCATGAGGCCCTCAAGTTCACGTGAATGCTCCAGCCCTTTAAGACTCAGCTTAAATGAACTAACACCCTCATTTCCCATCATATGCTGCGTAATCACATTTTTTTAGGGGAATGGGGCTTAGAAATAAAGCACCCTACAAGCTTATTCTGGCCGTTCTTCCTTCTGTGTCCCATCTTTTCCCCTGTAATCAGATTCTTATGATAATAGGATAGCCCTACCATTAAATGAAATACAAAAATCTCCTTAGATGGCGAAAAGCTCTGAGCAGACTGAATTGGACTTTTCTTTTGAGTTGTGTGGCCCCTACATCACAGCCCGAGAAGACGGATGGACAGATGTGAGGCCCCAAAGCCTGGGGATCCTCCCCCTCGGCCCCTCCCAGAAGACGGGGACAATTAATTGACTTTTAAAGCAAGTGCTTTCTTTGCCTATTCCACACTTGTCCTTGGCTGAGCGGGGCTCACAAATTGGTGTGTTGAACTTTTTATGAGGACTAAATAGCTGCCAATGAAAGTGTAAATGACTGTGTGGTGAATGGGGCCCGCACAATGGCTCTGCAGTGACAAGGCCTCTGGCAAACATAATGACTATTGTCACGGCTGCTGTCATCTAGAAACCATCAGGGCTAGAGAGGCGTGATCCCTGCTTTTTACTCTCACTCTATCTACATTTTGTCTTGTATATTTTCTTTTTATCTTTCCTATTTGTCTCATATTTGCTCCTCTTTGAATGTCTTGTTTCTCAGTTTCAGTTACTCCTGGCACTATAAGTTTTATATTAATCAAAAATTACTGGTAATATGAAAAAACATTTTCTGTGTGCACCCAGAAATATCAATGTTTGGCAAAAGGTTGCAAAAACATCTTACTTTGATAAAAGTTTCCTTAAAATCAAGCTTTCCAAAAACTTATTCATCCTACAGAAGCCCAGATTGAAGTCTCCTCCCTCAGTATTGTCCCAGGGGGCCACCATGTCAAATTTCCAAGCAAAATATAGCCTCTCTGCAGGCTTTTGAGACCACACAATTCTCATCTCTGGGAATTCCAGCAGGCTCTCATGGGGAACGAGCCCAGGAGGGCTCGGCCCGGAGCTGCTGCGTGGTGTACCGGCAGGAGTCCACCCAGACTTGGGGGGTAATTGGTTTATCCCACCGCCTGGCCTGCTTTCCCATGTGGGCCACTGCTGTGGGGAGGCCCAGGGGTACAATATGGGAACAGCGTGATACCCTCCAGTGCCGAACAGGCATTCAGTGCTGCGGCTATAGAGACCAGGGACAGAGTACCAGGAACACAAAGCTGAAGCAGAGATGTCTCTTGGCTTTGAAAAGGTTGCCATTTGGTGTCCTTTTAAGAGTGGGCAGCATGTGTGGTTGAAAATCTGAAGTAATTGAATTTTAGCTTTTTTGTAAATGTTCTTTTCAATTCAAAAGGTAATGAGTTTGAGAGTTTTTCCAGAGCTCTACATAATAGTTGTCATCACTCATGCACCTGTCATGCACCTGGCCGAAAACTAGATTTTCCTATTGTCCTTTTAGTCTTACATAAAACACAGAGTCAAGGAACAACAATAACAAAACCAGTATTTCTCTGAACTGGAGAGACAAATTTACTCAGTTTACTAATCATCTACAACTCTGTTTAACTTTAACTGTACCTATAGTAGTGTGGTGGGAGCAGTATCATATTAACTTAACTTGTAAGCTCAGCATAATAATTCATTCTGTGCAAGCTTACAACCTTTGTTCTTCAACCATCAAACTGCAGCACCTGCACTCGGAGAATCAAGAGTAAAGTTACACATGTTAAAGGTCCAGTGTGTAGGACTTAGGGGATATACCAGCAGAAATGGAATATAATAACATAAGAATATTTTCTGAAGTATATAATCACCTGAAAATAAGAATCATATTGGAATTTTCTAACCTTAGAATGGGACATTTATGTCCACATATGGAGCGGATCCTCTCCTACAGCGATCGGCATGTTGCACTGCTATGTTTTTACAGTAATCCAGAGCAGGCAAACCAAACACTGGCTCTAGATAGGGCCACAACAGTTTTTGCATTTTCCCATTGGTCATCATAGTCAGCAGCCCCTTCGTTATCCAGTATTTTATCCGGTTTTAATCTCCTGGTCCATTTGTTTTTTAGAGAATATGACCTGGTAAAAACCTCCTGAGCAATGAACACTGAGGGAAATTTAACCCCGTAAAGTTTCAGCTGGTTGCAATTTGCAATCCTCACCACTAGATGCCACCAAATCAACCTAAATCTTACACAGTGGGACTTTAATGTGACCAATAACAAACAGAAGTATCTTTAATTATATGAAAAAGTCCAACTTTATTGTATAGCAAAGACAGCATTATTGTACACAAACATCTCAGTGGAACAAAAGAAGGGGTAATATTGTAACTGTAGATGATAAAGTAATCTCACGATTTATCTCAACTAAGTTCATGTCTCATTTCAGAATGAGTCGAATCTTCCTGTCTCCAAGCAGGAGTCTGCGAAAACAGGAAAACAGTTAGTTAAGTTGTTCAGTCAGTAATACAGTAACACAGTCCTTTACAGTATAATATGTATATGTCGCGTTCCCCTACCGAACCAGTACGGCAGCTATTAGACCTCCTGCGATGGGTCCCACCCAGTAGACCCAGTGGTAAACCCAGTAGTTGCTCACTACGGCCGGACCGAAGGCTCTGGCTGGGTTCATACAGGTGCCAGATACATCTCCACTGATAAAACAAACAGGTAAGAGGTAATCATGTGAGCAGAGAACAATGATATCTATGTTAATTTTAATCCTACAGCAGCGTATACTTCTGCTGTACTTGCATCACTGCTGCAGCATAAATATGACATCCCACAGTCATATGTGATATAGCAATAATAATGCAGATAAATGTGATATTTAAAAAAATTTTTTACTTGAGCAAACCTGTAAAATATCATGAATGCATCCATACATGATATTAAGTTGCACACAAACAGACACACTCAATTTCTCATCTGTAGACTCACACTTCTTCTGTTTTACTCACCCAGCCAAGATGTTGAAGATAACAGTACAGCCCACCAAAAATGGCACCATGGGACTTTTGGTCTTGGTGTTGACTGCCCCCAGCAGCAGCACCATGGTGATCAGGCACGTCATGGCGACCTCTCCAAACACAGCTCTTCCTACTTCACTGTCTTCGTGCAGCACAGCAAATGCAGCTCCGTGGGCTTTGGCGAAGTTCTCCCCTGAGGTCATCGCCTGTTGGCATCAGCCATGATTCAGGGCTATTTTATGCACATACAAGAGAGCCTAAGGTGAATGTTTTTATTGACACAAAAATGAGGCAGGTTCACCTTCGCCATCGCAGCTCCAAGCACCCCTCCAACCAACTGACATACAAGATATGGGGCCACCATGTTTAGCTCCATCCCTCCACATAGATAGATGGCCAGAGTGAATGGTGGGTTGAAATGGGATCCACTGGAGAGGCAAAAATCAAGACAAAAAATCAGTTCTGCAGAATTTTAAGCAATGTTGTCTTAAAATGTAGAACTTTTTAAATGGGCATTATAAATATGAGATATAAAAGTGCAACATGGATTGAATAAATAAGAATAGAATAATAGAATTCTATTTATAAAGAAAAAAAAATCTATATGTAAATAATTATTGTCCAGACAGTAAGACAACACTTGGCACAATAAACACTGAAGATGATCCTCACCTGATCTCAGCCATACAAGTCACCATGACGGCTATAACCAGACCGTGCACCAGAGCTGGCTGAAGCCTCCCTGTAGACTCCACATTCTCTATGACCGACACACAGCCGATGAAAACGAAGAAAGTAGTTCCCACCAGCTCACCCAGACAAGGCTGAAATACCCTCTCAAATTTGTTAAGAGGTCTGGCTGGAGGTGGCTTTGACTCTGAAGTCATAAGAGATGCCCCAACTTCTGCCATCTCCATCATCTTCCCATCAGCCATGAGTCTTCAGTGAGGTCTGGTTGTAAGCGTTGAGGATGTAACACTGAGCCTGCTGACCTGAGGTCTGCATACAAATATCTCTGTGCCTGCTAATCACACGGACTTTGGTGTGTGAGGTTAGAGTCTGGGGAGAGTTGCTCCACTGACCTGCCCTGAACTCACTGACTCTTTTTCTTATTTATCCAAGATAGCTGGCTCATCCGCTCATTACAGGGACGAACTTGCAATGTGTAAATTCATGCATTTGCAGATGAGTTTGTGAAATGCGCCGTGGACTGTTTAAAAATCAGCCAGTTTTGGTCAATGATTGCAACTTAATCATTTACAGTGAAGTTACATAAACATGTTTTCAGGAGCTACTTTTCCATGGCAGGGTCGAAGCAGACCTTTTGTTATATGTTTGGCTTGACTGTTTTATCTGGTATTTTCATATAGATACAGCAGCACTTCCATATTGTTTAAGTCAAGATTTTTTAAATCTTAATAATTATAAAACTGTGACAAAAATATATTGGATAATGATGCAAGCCAGAAGACTTACTTAACTAAGCAAAGTCTTTAACTTGTTTTAAATTAGGAAAAATAT